TTTTAATTAAATAAAATAACATATTTTAAAATTAAAATTTTTAATTATTTTTAAAAATAAGAAATAATATATATACACTTTTCCCTAAATATAATCAATTCCTTTTCAAAATAATTAGTTATTTTATATAGAAAAGTTTTCTTTTGATATTTTTTATTGAGAAACACAATGTCACATTTATAATCAATTATATCCTATATAATAAGTTATATACTCTTAATCCTGAATTCTTTCTTTCTTGAAACAAGCCATAACTTGATTTTTACTGACTCTTCTGAATTGTTCTTCTTGAACCTTTGGTAACCAAACAACATGCCCTAAAGTTAAACTCTTTTAGTTAAATATCAATTTTAATCCCTTAACTTTTAAGTTTACGTTTTATATAATTTTCATCTTTTAATTTTTGTATGCACTTTTTTTTATTCCTCAACTATAAAAATTACACTTTTTGTAATTCTTCGATCAATTAATCTTTTAAATTTGTTTAAAGATACACATTTTTTATTTTGAACTCTTAAATTGAGAAACATAAAATATACATATATTATAAGTTAATGAATTAAAAACATATATATTTAAACATGCTTAACAAACTAATTAATTTAAAAATTAAAAAAAATACATTTTTTATAGTTAAAAGACCTAAAAATATATAAAACATTAAAAAATAAAAATTATACAAAATTTTAAATTTGAAAAAACTAAAATTAACATTTAATCAACTCACTTTTTGGGGGCAAAATCCTACTTTTAGACATTTGCTTTAATAAATTTATAGGTTTTAACCATTCACTTTATAATATGATACTTTTAGTCTCTTACCTATTAAAATTAAAGAAAATAGCCCTTTACCTATTAGAATTAAAGAAAATAACGTTCATTTATGACATTTCGTTAGTTCTGTGAATTGATTGTTAACTCTGTTAGCTGAAAATAGGTTTTTGTCAATTAACAGTCAGCTAATAATCAAGTAACAGAGTTAACAATTAGTTAGCAAAACTAACAAAATGTTACAAAATGAGGACTATTTTTTTCAATTCTAATAGATAAAAGATTAAAAGTATCATAATATAAGGTGGGGGACTAAAATATATAAATTTATTAAGATAAGGAGCTAAAGTAGGTATTTAGCCTTTAACTGCGGGCAAAACATGGGTACCGCTCACAACTGCCATGCGGAATAATAGCCATCTCATGCAGACTCATCCTGATCCACTCCAGGACATGAGTCAACAAAATTCACCTGATCAGCCCAGGTAAAAACTTTTGTTGGGCCCCATTTCCCACGAAGCCCCAAATCATTTACATGTGGGCTGCTACTTGGGCTCAGGCTCTAGGAAAAGTACCAACATGTGGGGTAATATTCTGCTGCAAGGTACATAACATTACGCTGGAAGTAGTTAATACCATACCGGTATGTGTATCGATTTTGCTACTAGAATGGTACGTATTAGATATTGAAATTTTTTGCATACTGTTTTGGATTTAGCGCTATAAATATCTATTTTTATAAATTAAATATCAAATTTTAAAATAAGATAAGGGATACTAACATTTAAAACCATCATATTCTTATAAATTGAAAATAAATTTAAAATGATCATTTTTAATCTCTCAACTTTTAATATATTCATATTTTTTGTCCATCCACTTTAAATTAGGAGACTAAAAATGTGTATATTTAGATAAATTTAACAAAATAACTTATAGAAGGACTAAAAAAAATGAAAAATTGACTAAAAAATACATAAAAAATTAAAGGATAAAAATTATATAT